GACTTAGTCTCGTGATGCGAGTCGACTCACGTTGAAGCGACTCAGCTGAGGTGAGGCAGCTCGTCTCTGAGCTTTTTTATTTTTTAGAACTGCGATGATTGGTCGAAAACGCCTAAGGCAACTCGCCTCACGAGACTAAATTCACCATATTGGGCAGTCGAGAGGGCCAAATTTTCGATTTAGATTGCACACAGGATTACGTGATTACAGGGATTACACGTGAATTTAGAGAGGTTGCACATGAATTTCGTTGAATTTCTGACTCAAAAGCCATTTTATTTGTACAAAAAGGTAAAATTTAGTGAAAATGTTGTAAAATTTGGTCAAGCATTACACGGGAATGCATACGGATTACATAGGGATTTTACATTACACCCTCATATGTACACAGGATTACACGGGTGGTGGCCCCATCGAGGGCAGTGCGAGCTACGCACACTGGTCACTATAACAAAACAAACAAACAAACAAACAAAATTCCAGAATATCTCTGCAGATCGTCCTTGGAGGCATTGACTATGTACGCAATTAGGGTAGCTTCCAGCTAAAGTACAAATAAACCCCGCCGACGCTCAGCCTGCGGCAGAGGAAGTAATTACTGATGAGATCGGGCGTCCGCCGGGTCCGGGCGGAGCCGCCGGCGAGCATACTCTTGCACGTCCCGACCGTACGGTTACGGCCGTATCTACGTTCGGCCCGAGGTACGGCCGCAGCGCCGAACGGTCGGAGCCGGAGTGGCCGGGACCGGGATGGTCAGGTCTGGTCAGGAGGAAGCGCTGGGCTCGTCTGTGCAAGTCTGTGCAAACACGGAAAAGACGTTAAGTCGATTCCGTTTACGATTGGGAGGAGCGGGCAGTGCTGCGCGGACTGGCGGTGCCCTACCGGCAGCGGGCGGCCTGCAGCCTGCACTACGTGAGCGCGGCGCGGCCGGCGTGTCCGGCGTCACTCCAATATTTATAGCGTTGTCGAAAGGACGTGCGTTAAGTCAAAGATATGCGATTTGACGCTTTACCTAGACGATGCAGTACTCTAGATGTAAAAGTAGTCTAGTGTAGTACATTTCAATGCTATATGGCAAAAAACGAATCATACTACAGAGCGAGTGACTAATTAATTATATTCGCGGGGGGCTTAAAGAACGTCCTGCCACTCTAAATGCCGTGGTCATTTCTAACTTGCCTGAATTTTGGGCATCTTCATTTGGAGAGGTTAATTTTTTGCCTCTTTTGCTCGAGGGGGTTTTCACTCGGAATTTTCGTGTACAGTGTATTACATATTACGTGTATTACGCGGTATTACGCCAGTTTTACACAAGCTTTGCAACCCAAATTCTACCATTTTAGGGCATATTTTCCTATTTTTCGGTATTACATTACGCGTAATACCTAGTTTTGGTGTACACTGTATTACGCAGGTGAAAACCCCCTCGCTTTTGCTTGCCAAAATGTGGACTTTAAAGACGTACAGTGACCACGGGACGCCACACTACTTCGACCTCTACGACGTGGTCGTTTCGCGGTTTCCCTTTGGGAAAGGTCTGTACAAACGGTGTGTACTTATATCACACATACCCTCGTACATACCCTAAAGTGAGAGGGCAATTGAAAAGTGAGAAGAGAATTTCGAGTCTATGTCAAAGTGTCTCGTGTCTCATAAAATAATTTCACACTTATAATAGTGAAACGACGTTCGAGCCCGTCTCGTCACGGCGGCCGAGAGATGCCGCTCCATCGCTCTCTCAGCTGTTTTCATTTTATTTTTATTTTTTCCGCCCCCGTTCAATCACTTTATTTGTCGCCTCCTCTCCTCTATTCCAGTAGTCGCTTCCACTTTACGCGGCCCCGAGCACAGCTTCAATGCCCTCTGGCCGCTCCCCTCTCACCCGGGGATAATCTTCCGGCCGTGTATACAATGGAATGGCTTGTTTTTGTGGGCGTGGCTCGGCGGGGCGTGGCACGGCGTGGCGTCCCGATCCTCCCGGCGGCCGCAGCCCTGCCCTTGGAAGTGAAAGGACGCGACTGAGCGCAGCGGCCGCAGAGACGAACCACCTAGCACCTGCAGCAGGCGTCTCATTGTCCATCTCTCTCTCACTATTTCCCCCCTTCCCCCCTCTTTTCACCCCTGCAAATCGCAACACACGCTGACCGGGCCTTACATCCGCGCATTGTGGCATTGATCGCGTTTCGAGGTGAAAACAAAGCGAAAGCGCCCTGTAGTGTATGGAAGCCGTTTGGTTTTCGGATCTTGCAACCTCCTCCTGCCCCTAGTAGCTCGCTGATCATCCCAACATCACAGGGAAGCCTTATGTTGCGTAAAAAAAATGCCACCCGCGCATTGTTCACATTGCGCAGAACAGCAAACCTCGTGGGTCGCCATTACCCGTACTGTGCCAAAGCATTAACGTAACTCAAGCTTACGCCAAACGAATGCCTCGAATTGCCAAGCATGAGGCTGAGGGAAAAAGGACACGACTCCACAGCGCTCAAATACTAGCTAATCTCCAATCTTCCTATAAGGCGGAATAAGTGCTCCTATCGTGAAGAATGGTATTTCGAGGTCGTTCGTTCGTCCGTGCTAACGTTCTTTCTCTCTCTCTGTTTGCAGATGAGCTGGCGGGGAAGCACCCTCCTGGGGGTGCTCGCTGCGCTGGCCGTCCTGGCAGGACCCGTCACCTCCGATGACAGTAAGTTCAACCTTCGTCTCGCCTCGTATCGCACTCTGATGCACTTGAAGATCGACCGCAATCGAAGACAGATCGGTGAAAATTATAGACAGATTATTAAAAATAACAATAAAAACAAATAAAATCTAAGAAACGAAAGAGTCTTTTAGACACTAAAACAAGGAATATTTCAGTTTATGAAAAATATATCACAAAAAATTGAAACAGGGCCAAAACTATTTATTTGCTTTGTGTGTTGTTTTTTTACATGAGTGCACATGGGTGCCAGCTATGGGCGCTACTGGGCTGGGCGGGAAGCAATCCGATGAGTGATGGAACTGACCCGAGGCCCCGCGCACCACGCACGCGCCTGGCATGTGCGTGCGAGCGTGCAGCCGCGACAGGTGTCGAAAGAGACATTCAGCAATACGCAGCACTTTCTCCCTCCTCCTCCTCCCCGTGCTGCACCGCGCCGTGCTGTCCGTTCTGTTCTGGCAATGACGGGTGGTCTCCTCTGTGATTGTGAGCTGCATGCCGCGGCGGGGCCGGCGGGGCCCCATGTGTGCGCAGCACGCTCATTGGCCTAAGGGGAGGATGGGCCCTTTTGTCAGCCACGCAACGCACCACCTCTTTCTTCTTTCTTTCTTTCTTTCTTTCTTTCTTTCTTTCTTTCTTTCTTTCTTTCTTTCTTTCTTTCTTTCTTTCTTTCTTTCTTTCTTTCTTTCACTCTTTCACTCTTTCGTTAAATGTAGTATATTCTCGCACACAGGCTAACAATACTCGCGTTATTCGGAATGCTTCCAATTTAGTTGATTTTTGTTTCTATTTGAATGATGATTTAAGAACATTGCTTCATTTGAATGACGACCTAAAAAACCAGTGTTCATCTAAAACTATCACACAAAAGTGGTAAGGATCATGATCTGAAAACGAACACATTGAGTCGCGTTGAGCACAGAAGTTCTTACACTACTGTTGAATACATAGGGTGCGCGAAAACTTAGAATTAGTGTTCAAACTGTGTTCTGCTCACTTTGGAAGTGTCTCATTCGATGCCGAGTCTGTCTCATTCACCGGTTATGGGTTCGGCTGGCCTGGCCCTGACCGGGGCCTGGGCCCATGGCGCCGCACTTGTGCAACTCACTGCATGTGACCAGGAACAGATCTCATTTCGTTGCGTCATAATATGGGGAGGCTCGTTATAACGCACAACGAAATAGACGCCCCTATCACCGTCTCGGTAGCGGGAGAGCGAGTGGGTGAGCGACACAGAGAGAGAGAGAGGGGGGGGGGGCTATCAGCCATCTGATGCTAAAGGGTTGTTGGCCACTGCATCGGTCTCCGTCTGCATCGATACGCGGCTGCGCTGCCACTGCCACCTTAGTGATGGATGTCTCTCTCTCTCTCTCTCTCTCTCTCTCTCTCTCTCTCTCTCTCTCCTCCCGCACTCTCCACCTTCCTCCATCTGTCTCACTCATACCCTCTGAC